TACTTTATTAATTGAAACTGTCTTAATTACACTTACTCATCTCTCTCTTCTCTATCTCTTTCTTATCTCTTTCCTCTATCTCTTCTCTATCTCTTTCCTCTATCTTCTTTCTATATTTCTCCTTTTCTCTATCTCTTTCTCTACTTCTTCTCTAATCTCTTTCCTCGTATCTCTTTCCTATCTCTTTCTCTATCTCTTTTCTCTATCTCTTTCTCTATCTCTTTCATCTATCTCTTATCTCTATCTCTTTCCTTCTCACTCTTTCTCTATCTCTTTCTCTTCTCTTTCTCTATGCTTCGTTCTCTATCTCTTTCTCTATCTCTTTCTCTATCTCTTTCTCTACTTCTCTATTTCCTCTATCTCTTTCTCTATCTCTTTCTCCTATCTCTTTCTCTATCTCTTTCTCTATCTCTGTTCTCATCTCTTTCTCTATCTCTTTCTCTATCTCTTCTATCCTCTCTATCTCTTTCTCTCTCATTCTCTCAATTTCCAGTCTAATTTGTTATTATAACTAAGGGGGATGAAGGATTTAAAATAAACGAATGGTGGTGATGATGGTGACGGTACTCACTTCTGTGCATTACACGATAGAGGCGCTGTTCACTTGCTCAGCGGATCAGGCCCGCCTAAACACCGTCGAAGTGGCCCCGTAGCCAGCGAGGGGAACCTACGACTCTTCGTTAGGCTGACACCAGAGAAGTCAGCGGCCAAGCGGCGTGTCGCGAATACGTTGATTGCAATCGGTAATCGTCGTTCCCCGTTCACAGGTTTAGCTACCGTAAGAAACGAGACTGCACCCTTACATCTCATCTTTTCCGGGCGTCTATCAGTTTAACTGGTTCCCACGGACTAAATTCCGATGGCAAGTGTCAGCTGATCTGATGATTAAGGCAGGCGAAAGGCGACCAGTCATACGCCGGTGAACGTTTTTTTGTGACATGTAACTGACCAATTGATCGCAGCTGAGTTCTCGTTCTGACCTGATGCTGACAAGTGCCTCGTTCAACTAACAATAGTTTAATGGCCTCGTTTGGGACGGAATTTGAAGTGACTCGTTCATGTCGAAAAAATGCAACTGCCTGGTTAGAACCAAAGACTACCAGTGAAGTTCTTTCAACTTCTTCTCGCCTCCTTCGTTTCTCCATCCCCCCTCTTACTCACAGTTCCGAATTCTGTCACAAGCTCAGCGCATTGCCTCTGATTGGGTCTTACGACGCACTTCTAGAACATTATATAGGTTCTTGTCTTTCATTGGTCAACGCTATATCTACTCTTGACAATCCGCTTTTCTGTGTACTTTAATTCGTTGCCTTTCACGCACTATTGGGGCTGGGAGCCTGTGCAGAGTCTCGAAACGCTGTCATCTACCTCCCGCCACCATGTTTGTTTTATCGCACGCCCATTGATATTTATGGGGGCAAGGGCCACTGGGTTCCTAACACGACTGATCCGCTGCTTCTTTCGACAATCGGCGAAAACAAAGAATGAAACGGGGGGTTTTCCCGCTTTTAAAGACATTTCCCACTTTGAAAGTTTTTTTCCTACTTTGAAGGACGGTCCATGGGCGCAACTCCTGCACGTGGCCGTGCTAAACAGCGGATGTAAAGGTCTTCGTGCGCTGGTATTTCAACTCCCGGGACAAAGAGGTGGTTTGGGGCGAGCGGGAGTGACTTGGGGGAGTCGATGGGACTCACCGCTTGCCCCCCCCCCCGACTTGTGATTAATAAAACGCATAGTATATGCTTTTTTAATCTAAAAAGAATGTGTGGAAAGAAATTACGACTATGTAGTTTAAAATAAGTAAATATGATGTAGGAAGTGTTGTACTTAAGGCAACGATATTGATATTTTGGAAACGAAATTCGGTGATGTTGATGCAGGAAAAATAATCAAATCTATAAGAATACTATGTGACAGAGGAATTGTATTTCTAACTTACAAGCTTACAAGCCTAACACAACATTCATGTAAGAAATTAACATCTATAATAGATGGCAATGGCAAATATAGCAATTAATGCTCTACAAGGTCAATAAGCATTATCATGACAGGTATTGTCATGAAGTTACAATAGTAGACATTAATCCCTCTCTGAACCTTTTATTCTAATTTCACGTCGCACATCACCTCCATGAATATATACAACTTCAATCCATCGATAGCTGTTCAGTTTCTTTAGTTGACAGTGGCCAGGTGCTTGTTATTATTGAGTCAGAAATGAAATCAATAGCATATGAAGCAGATCTTCATAGCCACGTACTGTGAATGATTTTCGAGTATTTCTTTCTCCACATGAAGTCTTTGTGTCGAGCTTCCAGCGTGTCTTCTGACAGTTATCCTAATGGGACAATTATCCAAATAATAATAATTAGTTACATCCGCGCCATGAATTAATATTTTGTGCACACTGTACAGGTGTAAAGTACCTATCCGTATAAATTGACATAAACTTCTAATTTCCCATTTTAATTCTGAGGATGATCGCTACGCGATCGAAACGATCCTTAGAAAAATAAATTGTTGATACCAGACAACACCTTTAATTTACTATATTTAGTTCATATTAATTATTATATAGAAAAGTCGGTGTACTGTGTACTTGTACAATTTTCGTGAAGTGGTCTCTTAAGAGAGTAAATTAACATATAGGGCTATTAAGAAGCTGGTCGGTGGTTGAGAAGAGGCATAGTCTCGGAGTTGGGTCTCAGTGTATTCCGACAGAAACCTTTCTGGCAGATTAGTGGCAAATATCAGGAAAATTAACGATTCAAATATGTTGTTTCTATTGGTAGGTAATTACTAAGCACAAAAAGAGACATTAATTAAATAAACATAGTTTAACTCTGCTTCAGAGGGAATTTCTCATTCTTCACAAATTGGTTGAACGTTGTTTAATGTCCAATGCAAAATTTTTGAACATTTTTATGAGCATTTATTCTATTTAATAGAAAGGATAGACATTCTGTACATATATTAAACATTTTTTTTGTTTTCAGAAATATAATATTTATTTATTACATTTGTTTGAAATGAAATATTTTCAAAACATGTTTTCTTCAATGACCCACCGGATATACCATAACTTCGTGAATCTGAAAAAGAAACAAATAGTTAAATTTTACGTCACGAGAATCTACAAAATACCGTTACTGATATGGATACAAATTAAATTTTGTTAAAAAAGATATTAACTTAGAATTAAGAAAAGTACACACAACATATTAATACATCCCTTTTTAACGCGATTGTTAGGTGGCATAAACGGAAGTAGAAAATCGAAATGTTTCTACAAAAAACAACTGAACTGAAGGTGAATTGAAGACACCAAAGGTCGAATGGCATGTAGAGGGTGTGGAAAGATAAAAGCTGGAGAAGAAGATGACACGGAAGTTATCAGCCATATTAGTATGGCAACGCATAACACGTGTACTAATGTTATTACTTACAACATGTATTTGTTTTTGAACAGATCGCCTTTGACCTCTCAGCCCTTTCCAGTAGCCCGCCTATCCCGACACATTGCAAATCTCACGCGTCTCTGGTTCTCGGTGCATTTAGCTGTTTCATATCTATTCTTCTATTGTCGGGATCGAACCCTCCCACCTTCCACTATCGGACGTGGACCGTCATTTACTAGGTTGACAGTCAGCAGAGACAGCTCATGTGCCCACCTTATCTTCGGATAGGTCATCACGATCTGGAATGAGAAGGGAGTTTGGGAGGTGGTTCCTGGTATAAGGACATCCCGTCACGCAGCGACCCACGACATAAACGTCTTACGTGGTATTCGTACTCACAGGTTTCGTGTTCAACATTCTTGGGCTTAAGTGCCCCAAGCTCTTGTGATTCCAGGATACGGAAAAAGTAGTGGTGCTAAAACAGTACCTACTTTCTCACCCGTATTTTCACGCAAAATTACGCGAAAAGTACTTATATTTGTAATATGTTGTATATGACTTTATTACAAAATCTATCTTTAAGAAACAGATTTTATTCAGAGATAAATGTCTTTAATTATATGTAGTTGTAGGAAACTTTTTTTTTTTTTGAAAAATCAGTTTTCAACGAATATTAGTCCTGCACCATTCTCTTAAACGTTGTTCACACTATCTAACAAGAAAATGTAATAAAAGGTCATGGAGCCAATTTTTTTAAAATTATAAAACCGTCTTTAGGGATTCATCTAAAGTACCCATTAAACTTAAAATATCGTTTTCAAATTCAAAGGGTAGCGGCACCAGTCAAATTGATTGACGAATATCAATTTTGGAGAAAATCGGCAGAACAGTGTAGTCGCAGATGGACGGACTGACGGACGGACGGACGGACGGACGGACAGGCAGGCAGGCAGACAGACAGACAGGCAGACAGGCAGACAGGCAGACAGGCAGACAGGCAGACAGACAGGCAGACAGACAGGCAGACAGACAGGCAGACAGACAGGCAGACAGGCAGATAGGCAGACAGGCAGACAGGCAGACATGCAGACAGGCAGACAGGCAGACAGGCAGGTAGGCAGACAGGTAGACAGGTAGACAGGCAGACATGTAGACATGTAGACAGGTAGACAGGTAGACAGGTAGACAGGCAGATAGACAGACAGGCATATATACAGACAGGCAGACACGCAGACAGACGGACAGACGGACGGACGTTTTGCCGTCATTCGATGTTTTGGTATCAAGGACCTCCAAAACTGGATTTTGGTTACGTGGTATAGGATTGTTTTATAAATATAGCAACTGGATTTATCTACTTTGTCATTACCAGGGTCCTCTAATAAGACTTTTTCTGCCAAATATTTACAGGTCTTTCGCGCAACTTTACATAACTTTCTCTCTACTCCATAGCGAGGAAGTAAAAATTGTATGAAAAATCTGTGCTCTATTATAGCATCACGACTTTTTGTAGGCACCTTCGGGTACTGAATTCTCCCCTAAAGAAAGTTTTACAAGTTTTTTTTATATTTTTATGCATAAAGTTGCATTTTACCCTCTGGGTACATTGGTTTAAAATTTGCCTAACCATAATTCATAATTCCAACTATTTCTTCCCTAAACAGTCATGCAGAACGCTTACCTGCACATGAGGGGGAACGCCTAGTGTGTAGAGAACGATGTCAGCAATGTCCTCCGGCTCCAGAAAGGATACGTTCTCGAGGAGTTTCATGTCTGTCCCCGAGGTCTCAAATATGTCGGTCTTTACGAAGCCTGGACTCACCTCCTGCGACAAGTTTATTTGTTTATTTATATGTTTAATTACTTACTTTTTGGTTAACATAACACGCAACATATATTGAAAATTTCGAACCCGCTATCTGCATTCCTAAATTTGTGACGACTTTCTGTGGATCAATGACATATTTACGGAGAACGAGCAAATTGATTCTCAAAATCAGGCTGCAGTGGCTCAGTTGCAACATGTCTACTGTTTCACCAGCCTGCTGACTAGCAGGTTCTAGGGTTGAAAACGCGATAATTCGACACTATGGATATTGATGGGCTGCATTCAACCAATGTCTGAGAATTCTAGCAGCAGGCTGCTCTGTTGGGGAGTTAAGAGCTTATCCAGCCGGACAGTGTTTCGATGGTGGTAGATACCTGATTAAGGAAAATCCGCAAGGCGACGTGTAGGTCTGCGTCGAGTCTTTCATTTCTGTTGGGGAACATCGCCACCTCTGTGGATCATAGTCAATTTTATTCACGTGTTGTCGATTTTATAGGTATGAATATGTACATATCTTAACTTTTGCCTTTCTATTTTTCTACATTTCTTTCTTTCTTTCTTTCTTTCTTTCTTTCTTTCTTTCTTTCTTTCTTTCTTTCTTTCTTTCTTTCTTTCTTTCTTTCTTTCTTTCTTTCTTTCTTTCTTTCTTTCTTTCTTTTTCCCCCTTTTATTTTTTCTTCTTTCTTTCTCTTTATTCCTTTCTATCTATCTATCTATCCATCCATCTATCCATCTATCTATTCATTTACCTATGTATCTCTCAACGTAGGATCTGTCAGTAAAACTATCTACCTTGAATTGGTCTTATACGGTTAGAGGAATGGAAATGAAAGTTTCACCTTTCACGACATACAGCTCACCAGTTAGATGATTTTTCCACTTAGATGATTCTGATAATCGCTTTTTTTTATTTTATCATTAAATCATCATATCCATAATCATACATGATATCTGTAAATCACAGATTCTCCTGTAGCAAAAACGTAGATATTTAATGAATGAACAGTGTGTTGGCGTTTGTTATATATCATATTGCTGGATAGGTTTTGCCCTAGCATGTTCTTTTGAAAGTCTATAGCAATGGCCTTCAATTTTTTCACAGCACAATGATTCACACAGCGACGTTTCCTGTCATTCAAAACTTCAGTTTCTAAATGGAGTTCTTTCTTGGTTTCCAATTCTTTCAGTATGTTCTTTAAATGTTACACAAGATCATGGCCATTGGTGTATGTTGTAAGCTTAAAACTCGTTTTATATTTACAATATCTTGACCATCATTGTACTGTCAACGGTCTTCATCCTTCCACATATTTTCAATTAAGAATATTTGTGGACTTCACAGGTTTCGTGTGATTCTAGCAATACCAAAAGAATCGTCAACTATTCATATAACGGCGTCATAATTCTGAATTATAAAAACTGAACTTTCATCGTTATTCTACGATGTGTAGACTTTGCATTGAAAAATTATCTTTCGCAACCAACTTAATTGTTTATAGTTTTGAACTATAAAAAAAAGACAGAGAAAATCGAACACAAACTCACCGTCACTCGAACGCGACTCTTCGCTGCCACAAGCTCCTTTCGGAGTCCTTCTGTGAGGACCCGCACAGCGTGCTTTGAGGCAGAGTATACTGATACTTGTGTCCAGAATGGACTCAGATGACCAGTAATGCTGGAAAATGTGAAGAATCATCTTCCACAAAATGAACGAAAAACTAGGATTGATTGATTTCGGCATGGTAAGTTATTTATTTAATTACCCACAAGAGGGCAATGCCTAAATTACGGTAGATATTACAAAATAACAACAAACAAAAAAGAATATCATCAATTTCAAATAAAATCAGAGAAATTCAATCACAAGAATATAAATTTTTACAAAAATATATAAAACACAAAACAGCAGTAAGATAAACAAAAATGGAAACACTATAACCTCCAAACAGTCATCAAAAAATATAATAAAATAATTTAATAGTGTTTAGATATATTAGTGTTAGGGGAGTGAACTGCTAAGGTCATTAGTCCCGTTAATGTAGTGTATGTTTTATTGCGAGAGATGGTGTTCTTCCTAGAAGGATGGCGAGATTCGACGCCGACCTACTCGTCACCTTGTGGGTTTTCCCCAATCAGGTATCTCCCACCAGCGAGGCACCGCCCCAACCAGAACAAGCTCAAAGTTTCCGACTGGACTCCTGACATGTGTGGTAGTGTAGTGTTCGCAAATGTTTGTGGATCTAAGTAAGGGGAGAGGACAGGACATGAAAGAGGATGGAAAGATCAAGCTCCCACGTGATCTCTCTATCCTCTTCCTGAGGCGGTGCCCCGCTGGAAAGAAGAACCTGATTGAGGAAAAACCCACAATGTAAGGTGTAGGTCGGAGACTGTTTGATCGGGGACTATTGCCTATTTGATACAATACAGACATTCGCTTGGCGTTAATCGGGAAAACCACGAAAAACAACCGATCAGAGCAGCCAGCCAGTAGTCTCCTCTTCACAGAGGCTGAATTCCCAGCGGCGTAGCAAGAATCGAAAATTCTGCCACGGTCGGGAGGGGACTACTAGGACCTCCCAGCGAGAAGCACTGCAGAGACATCAATGATATCTCTGAAATAGCAAAGCCGGTATAAAAACTTAAAGACTTAAAACTAAAATTCTTCTTTTTAGCCTTAGGCTTCTGAGAAGGAAGGAGGGCAGAGAGCAGTAGCTTCCCTGAAAATTTTATGTATGTTATATCTCCCTATTTCCTCCATTTTCTACTTGACAACTTGTGTGTTTGTCATTACACTTACACTTACATACACTAATTTGTCGGAAGACTATTCGGAAGCTTAGAACGTCTCCGGACTAGGACGGGAAGAGATACCTGGTTGGGGAAAAGCTGACGTGGGTCGGCACCAAATCTCGCCATCCAGCGGAAAAGATAAACCCCCGCGAATGCAGGCACTTACATGAACTACAATTATGGGAGAAATCATCTAAGCAGTAGATACGCTTAGAATCATTAATCAGTTTGTTAATTCTTTCAATTTGGCCGTTGATTAGTGCAGAAACATCACGTTCAAATTTTTAATTTATCTTAATACAATATATCTTATTATTTTTTAACTTTGTTTACAGTACACTCACCTACAGATGTTGATTATGTGTCCATCGTCAACTCCACGCGCTCTCATTTGGTGTTGTACAGCCTTCTGGGTGCAGATACTCAAACCTTCAAAGACGTTTCTTAGTTCGAGAGAATTCTCTTCCAGTCCAGTCGTGTTGCTTCTTTCTAAACAATAACAATTTCACTGCGACAACTTTTCAAACAGACACAATGACTAGAAACCACTCGGGCAACTCGAATCCCTTTATTACGGAAAAACGATTTTAACTGGTCAATTTAGGGACAATCTCAATAGCTGATGACAAACTCTCTTCAACTATTGTACAAGAAAACATTTAGTTGATTTAACGTTTTATGCAACAGAAATGCGGGAATCTTTAAACATTACTATCAGAATTGAAATCGAATTGAAAAAATAATTGAACAAATCAATTGAACAAACAATCTACCTGGCACTTAAATTCATATTTAGATTTGCCTACATAATAATAACAATAATAATAATAATGATAATAATAACAATAATAATTTATTATTTAGTAGTCGTAGAGTAGTAGAAGGGTAGTATGGTTTGTTAGTAGAAGGAATGGGAGAACCAAGGGATCTCCCCCAGTCGTAAGATGTGACTAATCGGCGCACGGCGATGGTGTAATGGTTAGCGTATAAGACTGGATATAAGTTAGAGGATTGAAACCCGATCGAAGCCGTGGATTTTTAAGGCCGAAAAAATCCTCTGTATGCCTTCCTTCGGAGGGAAAGTAAAGCCGGCTGTTTCATGTTAGTAGATGTACTTGCAAGTGAAAGATCCTCAAGGCTAAATGACGCTGCTCAGCTATATTCAAATCGCCTGTTTCTCGTCCAAGAAATATCTCCTTTCTCTGCTAGATGGTGAAAGGAGTGTAGCAAAATTTGCGTGGTCAGACGGATGAGCAGGGTATTTAAATTCGAGCGTCATGACCTGAGTCTCCCCACGTCAAATGAGGCATCAGTTCAATCGGAGCAGCTGACCTCTGTCCCTTCCTTAGAAGATATAGCCTTGTCTACACCCTTTCTTTTATGTCCTTTCCCTCTTTTCTCCCCGGAAGTCGATGAGTAGATTGAGTAGCTTATTGCAGCACCTGCAGCTCATTTATTTCCTGTTTTTCATTCCTTGCTTCACCCTTTCCTTCATTACCTGGCCGAGGGTATAAAATGCATTACCCTTGTAAACATGGAGAGAAACGCAATCAATAGAGCCTCCGACGCATCAACAAGTAGGACTGTACCTGATGCGGACGCGCAACCGATTGGTGTCGACCATCGTAATAGATGAGAGCGTAGGCTTCCGTGGTCGGAGTCAGTACTCACGTGGCTATCCGGGAGACGTCCAGGGCACAGGTGCCAACATTTCGATCGCCAGTCAGCGATAACCCAACATATACGCCCTGATGAAGTTCGCAGAATGGTGACAGAAATGTTGGCACCTGTTCCCTGGAAGAGGCGTCTCCCGGATAGCCAAGTAAGTATCGTGATAGATCCGGCAACAGATTTAGGAACCCTGCCAGCAGTGCGTTAATGGAGCAATCCACTACCACCAAAGCAGGTTGACTCAGGTAACTAATAGAAGGGATCACGGAAATGAAAACAAGAGTCACGCGCTGCTATTTCATAGCTACATATTTAATATTCAAAAAGACCCAATACGGAGCACATCGCATAAGAATTTTTCTCCGAAATTCGGAAATAGACGTCACATAACAGCGTGTGGCAGATTAAAAAAAGACTATAATAAAACGCAACCTTCTTCCTCCACCCGTTATTTAAGAAATAAGGGGGTAAGTAGCAGAAGAAGAAGTAAAAGGCGTCGACCATCTCTCTCTAAATTCAACTGTTGACAATTCCACAATCCTACCACAAAACTCTGATAGTGCTCTCAATACAGAAATGACGTTTACGGAAAGCAAAATGAACTGACTGAGAAATTGAATTCTATCTTCTCTCATCAAGAAAGAGATCCAACTCAGAGAACGGGTTGCGTTAAGCGCAGTCAATCACTGCAATAGAACTAGTAGATGAAGTCAATACCATCTTGTAAACGCTTCTGGAAAGGATAAATAATTCCAAAGATCTCTATTGCCTAATATATTGTGCAGCTCTAGTAAGTTCGACGGCAAATGGTACAAAAATACCAGATAAAATTCTCGTTTCTAAACCACCTCAATTCAGAGAAATACCAAGATGTAAATTGCGATTAGAAAAGAAGGTTTTGATATTCAGAAGAAATTTCAATATTGGATAAGTAGAGACGACGGTCAAAACAATCTGCAGAAAGAACACAACTGTATAATGAAGAAATATAAAATTCACTCCAAACACGAAGACAGCAATAAAACTTTGAATGATGTGATTGATATATTAAAAAATACTTTTTGCAACGTCAAACAGGCTAAAGAGATATGACAGTTTTTGTCGGAGAAGAAGAGAAAATAAATTGTTTCTAGAAAGAGGTCGGTTCTACAAGCGCTGGAAGTCTGATGAGGAAAAGAATTATGACGCACCTAATGAAAATGTTCGAGTATTGGTCAGAGCTATAGTCGACCCAAACATTCCACAACGGCACGCCCAGCTGGATTTACACGCAAACACATTTTTCTGAAAATATTGATGAAATTCCACATTTGTACATTTCTCCAGAAAATGTATGTAGGGTGATTAGAAACACACACTACAGAAAGGCAGCCGGATATGTTTTCATCCATAACTATTGGATCAAGAAGTTCACCAACGTTCATAAGCAGCTTGCTTATTACTTCTGTACATTTATTGAACAGCCTCACATAGTCCAAACCTTCATGTGCCAGGGAATCACATTTTTGATTCCCAAAGGATTCGATAAAATAATCTTATTAACTATAGACCAATTATGTGTCTCGCAACTAATATAAGATGATAACAGCTGTCCTAATTAAAGCAATTCATGAGAATTGTGATGCAAAGAAGAGTCAGTATGTCAGTCAGAAGAGAACAAAGGTTGCCGGAAAATTTTTCCAGCGATGGAAAGAGAAACTAATAGTTGCTTCAGTGGTTATGAAACAAGCATGTAATGCAAATCGAAATATATACTCAGTGTATATTGATTATAAAAAGACCTTCAATTCTGTCCCGCGCAGTTGGATACATGTTATATTAAAAATATTTAAAATCAGTTCTAATATTACTAACATATTGGAACATCTAATCGTCTAATGGGAAATAACCCCAAACATGCAGGCATCAGGAAGACATGTTAAAT